GCCTACTTGCAATCTCACTCAGACCCTCTTTCAGGGCTACTTCATGATGTGGAAGCTAGCTTCCCCCAGAATGAGTGATAAGAGAGAAGCACCCAAGATGGAAGCTACAGTCTTTTTATAACCAAATCTCAGAAATGACATCTCATCACTCCTGCTATTAAAGGCAAGGCAATAAATCCAGCCCTCACGTAAGGAAAGGGGATTAACAAGGGCATGAATACCAGGAGGCAGGGATCATTGGGGTCCATCTTAGAGTCTGTCCACCAGAACAAGCAATGGTTGCCTACTCACTGGCAATGGGGTTTTTAACAAACCGTGGTGGTGCAGTGGTTAAAGTGCTTGGCTGCTAACGGAAAGGTCAGTAGTACAAACCGACCAGCCAGTCCACAGGAGAAAGATATGGCAGTCTGCTTCTGTAAAGATTACAGCTTTGGAAACCCTATGGAGCAGTTCCATGCTGTCCTATAGGGTCACTATGAATCAGAATCACATAAGAGATTTCTCTCTATATAAATATACATACATATACATATATAAAGAGATTTATATGTATGTATATATACGCACACACACACACTAAGAGATTTATTTTAAGGAATTGGCTCACATGATTATGAGGGCTGGCAAGTCTGAAGTTTATAGCGAAGGCTGGAAACTCAGGTAGGAGTTGAACTTGCGGTCTTGAGTCTGAGGTCTGTAGTGCAGGACAGCAGGCCAGAAACTCAGGCAGAAATTCTTCTTCTCTGGAAAACCTTAGTTTTTGCACTTAAGGCCTTCAACTGATTGGATGAACCCCACCTGTACTATCGAGGATAGTCTCCTTTACTTAAAATTAACTGATTGTATATGTTAACTACATCTACAAACTACCTTCTTAGCAACACCTAGATTAGTATTTGATTAAATAACTGGGTACTGTATCCTAGGCAAGTTGACAAATATAAGACTAACCATCACACCTAGGCTCTCAATACTCTTTTTCCACTCGGAAAAACCCAATGCACCTATCAAGGCTCAGCTCAAAGGTCATCTTCTCTATGAAGTTTTCTCTAATCTGTCCCAGTCAGGACTACTTTTTTTTTTCCCTACTGTTTACTGGTTGGATATTCCTCTGCCAAAATAGTTATTATATTGCATTTTAATTATTTGCATGTCTGTCTTGCTTACTAGATGATGTATGCCCAATACATGTATGCCCAATACATGTATGCCCAATACCATGTACCTTACTCAGTAAATATTTGTTGAGTGAATAAGTGATTTAAATAACTGACTATCAAAGCTCATGAAGGCAAAGAAAATCTAGTTAACTTCTTCAAGAAAGTGTTGGTCATTCTGGTGGTTGATCATCTGCCTTATGAATGATGTTAGAGAGAAATAAGAGAGAGCAATAAAAATTATTTTGATATTATAATGTAGGCTAATGTCCAATGAATAATACCAAATTTTCACCACTAGAGAGAACTCTAGTGTCACCTTAAAACATTTAATAGGAAATTTAGGGTGTATATAGGATGTTAAAACATTTTTCATGAGCTTGTGTCAACACCAATATAAAGGCCTCTGTGAATATGCAGGAGCTGGTGGTATCATTTGCAAATTATCAGGTAACATTAACTATCAGTAGTGCTATAATCAAGCATCTGTATGCATACTCCCTATTAATAGAGGGCTTCTATACTGGATGATGGTGGCACAGTGGTTAAGAGCATGGCTGCTAACCAAAATGTCAGCAGTTCAAATCCACCAGCCGCTCCTTGGAAACTTACGGAACAGTTCTACTCTGTCCTATAGGGTCTCTATGAGTTGGAATCTACTCGATGGCAATGGATTTTATATTGGATGAACACACTTTATTTTATCATTGCTTAAGCGATGGCCCAGAATGTAATTATTCTTGTTTTCAGGTAAAAATCTGAAAATACTTAAATCTTTTTATTACTTAGGAAAGAACTGTAGAGAGCTATAGTCCTCTCTGGAGGCTGGACTCCTACTGTGGGCCTGGGGGTTAGGAAAGCTTTCACAGAGGCCATAAACTGCTCCATACTAGTTACTGTCCAGGGAATGCAGTGCCTGGGAATGGAAAGAAGGATTTTGCTTTGTGGCTGCAATAGGTCACTTAAATGTGGCTGAAGTGGTGGGGCTTAGAGGCAGACCACAAAGTCTATTCACAGAAAGTTTATCGGACCTGACATTAGGAATCAAATGTGGCCCTGATGTTGGCAACGACGGTGAATGGGTATACAGTAACGTGGATAGTCCCCAGCACTTACGTAATTATCAACAGGAAGGAGGAAATATCTCTGCATTTGTGATTAGACTGGAGAGATTTCTGCGCTGAGCTACAACATAAAGAGTCATTCAAAATAACTGAAAGAATTGAGCTTTATTGGAGCAAAGAGTATTTGTGTTATTTTATAGCAAAACATTTCTGGGCAAGCTCAGACTTCCCGAGGACTGAAGATTCCTCCAAACTCTCACTGTTAAGTAAGGTAATTTGGAGGCAGAGCAGGAGGGTGCCTTAGCTGCTCTCAGGGAACAGAAGAGCAGAGCAGAGTTGGGAATGGAAATTCCAGTTCAGACTTGGGAAGATGAAGTCACCATCCCAAATCTAGAGTGAATAAGTTTGATAGCACCTATCCCTTCTATTTGCAGGAAGGCAGGCACCCTGAAGGGAAGGACAGGATGCTCACCTTATAATGCTGCTTCTTAGTTTGGGAATAGGAGTCTTAAGGAGGGTCCCTTGACATCATATGATAGCCATGATGGGAGAAAGAGGCTGGGGATGCAGCCCATCTCCCCGGCCAATCTTAAATCACGAAGCCCCTAGTGGTGCAAATGGGTAACGCACTTGGCTGCTAACCAAAAGGTTGGAGGTTTGAGCCCACCTAGAGGTGCCTTGAATAAAAGAACTGGCTATCTACTTCTGAAAAATCAGCCATTGAAAACCCTATGGAGCACAAGTTGTACCCTGATACATGTGGGGTTGCCATGAGTGAGAATCGACTCATTGGCAACTGATTTGGTTTTTTAGTTTACTGGGTTTAGGTAAAAAATGGCATTCCATTTCCTGGTCTCCCAAGGTCTGCCAACGTCTACTCACATAGAGGGACCTCTGTCTGATCCAGAGGCCCCAGATCTAGGGGAACCCCAGCTGAAGTGGAAGAGACTTTAATTAGGAAGGAAACTCCTGTTGTGTACTATATAGTGGGGAGGGCACTGATACGAGACTTTCTTTATGTCTAGGAGATAGAGAAGGAAGCCATATCCCAATAAGACAGTTAGTCTTAATCCTAGTTCTAAGAGTATCGACAGGGACTTGGGCAGAGACTCAGAGGAGTTCTGGGTAGAAGGGATTGGATGCCACAAATAACTAGTGAGTCTTGTCTTTCCCTCATCCACTTTTTGGAGGAAAGGATCTATGTGAAACATTAGTAAGAGATTACACACTTTTTTTTTCCTTTTGTGGAGAGTGGAATAAAAGATCATTTTGTATTTAATCCCACAACTGCCTCCTGGGGAGTGTGAATCTTGATAAATAAGACTCCCCCTACCCGCACCTTTTATTTTCTGCTGGACCTCTAGATGGCTTAGTTCTGTAGCCAGGTAATGTGAACTGCCGAGAGCTAAATTGTCTTGCCCAACTGAAGAAGAATTTGAAGTTCCTTTGGCAATCCAGGACAGAAGAGGTGAGTGACAAGGAGATATTGCAAGTGATGGTTTGAGACTGGATTATGTAAGGTGAAATACCGGTAGAAGTTTCCCTAGAGTGAGCTATATTAAGAATGAGGTATTTAATGTTCAATTGGGACTTATTTGAGTTGCTGTGATGAAGACCCCTCTTCCGTTGGCTTCCTTCACCCTGAATCTTTAAGAAATGCATAAGTGAGGAATTTTGTGTCTATGGTGTGAAACGGTCTTCATGTCTAGGCCTGTATAGTATGGGAGAGACACAGTGTGTGAGGAAGCATGGGCCCAGAGGCAACTATGAAAATGGGAGCATCCTGGGGTGACTTCAGATATCTGAAGGGTGTGGAATTGTTTGATTCAAGCCAACTTTAATCTAGCTCTAAAAAGGAGGATAATCCTAGGTGACAGTGGGTACATAAGAACCATTTTGATGAGGTGGTAAGGGAAGAAGCCAGGTCTGAGTCCACTGCTGGGTGAATCAGAGGCAAGGACATGGAGACAGCTTTGTGTGGATGATTCTTCTAAATCATGAAAATTAGTCAGAAGGTAATTCAGTTGGTGAAATATGCTGCAGATCTTGCATAAATTATATTGTACTTGAAGTGTCAGAATACAGCAGATACTAAAAAAAGAAAAGATAAAAGAAAAGTTGAAACTTTTCTAAAGCAACATTTGTATTTTGGCATTTCAGGTTTTTTTTTTTTTTTGGTAACACAGTGGGCTAGATTCCCTTCCCTTTAGGCTAGGTAAAAAATAGGTATATAAAACCAATTGTGAGAATATTTTTCAAAATGACATGAAGCTCCGAAGGAGGAGGTGCACAGATTTATACCTGTGTGGGGAATGCCAGTGCCCCGTTTATGGCTGGTTTCTATCTTTTGAGTCAGAGGTAGGAGTCAGAATTTGGAATTGTAGGGATAAATCCTCCTTAATATAGCACAGAACAACAAAACTGACAATGATTTATTTGTAAACTATGTACTGAAATGTGGGCAAAAGTTTTGTGAGCTGACTTTATTACTCACTGTGCCATTTTAAAAAATGCCAAATTGAAAATAAAATGTTAAATAGTAAGGGTAGATGAGCACTTAACTATTTTCAGGGTTGCATATTTTAAGAGCTGGGCATAAAACAAAATACAGAGAAGAGGAGATGCTTAAAAAACATTCCTGAAACCTTCTTCATTTGTCTGCACGTGGCTCCTCTAGCAGTGACTACCCTTCTCCTGCTTCCCTGCCCCTACACCCACACACCCTTTCTCTTGGCCCCAAACACACGGACATAAATATTAGATGAGAAACTTGCCATTTTCAGGTTTTCATTAATTCAGTCCCTTCATTGATCTTATCAAAAGTCAGAGTATGAGTAATTAGTGGGTCTAGATTAAACTTCTTTGCCATATAATCAGAAACCAGCTTAGGAACATGTTCTCTGCTCTTCCACCCTGGAAATACACAGATTAATGTCAGATTTTATACATGAGACTTCACTTGAAAAGAAAAGTCATCCAGAGTAACTGCTGGAGGTGTTGCTTTTGACTGAGGAAGTATAAGGATGATCCATTAACTTGCCTCAGTTATCAGAATGCCTGTCTCAACCGCACTTGGGGAGAGGGCTGTTTTTCTGAAGGAGACCTCTGGTAGTATAGAAGAGAACTAATTCCAAGCAGGGAGAACTTGGACCTTGTCTTGAGATGTTCTTGGTGTTAGACTGTGTTCTGTGGGAAGCAGTGAATCCATATCTAATGTATAACAAAGGCCAAGGCCTTAGGAATCATGAAAGAAAGCAATTCAAAGGTTAGAAATTTCACGTGTGTATGTTTGTGTGTATGTGTTTTGATGTGCAGCTTCATGAAAGAGCCAAATACCTTAAGGAAAGAGAAGAACTTCTATCATGCGGTGAACCTAGTAAGAGCTTTTGGAAAAAGAATGTGTACAAAGTAATATGAGAATAAAATACACCGTCTAGAAGTAAGAATTACACAGGAAAAGATGGGCCTAGCGTTGTGTTTTCTGTAGTCTCATGATTTTTAGAAATGCTGCCCTTACATTTAGCCCTGTGCTAAGAGACATGATCAGTGAGTTACTAGATAGAATTTGACAGCCTGCTCACTTCTGGAAAGGATGGTGTGCTGTAATTGTGCAAGGAGGCAACACTGTCCTGAGCAGATTACTTTGTGGTAGGATCTTGGCAGTTACTTGCTTTTCTTGGTTCAAGTTTAGGCTGTGTTCCCCAGCCTTCCCACTGATTCTCAAAATAACTCCTTTGACAGGGATCACAACAGAGTCCTAAACAGAGTGGTAGAAAAATGTAGAACAGAATTCAAATTTATGAAAAAAGACCAGACTTACTGGTCTGACAGAGACTGGATGAACCCTTGCAAATACGGCCCCCCAGACACTGTGCTAACCCAGAACTGAAACCATTCCCGAAGTCCACTTTTCAGACATAGGTTAGATAGAACTATAAAACAAAAAATAACACATGTGAGGAATGTGCCTCTTAGTTCAATCAAACATATGAGACCAAATAGGCAACTCCTGTTCAAAAGCAGAGAAGGCAGGAAGGACAAATGGACACAGGGATCCCAGGGTTGAAAGGCGGAGCATGCTGTATGTCCTGGGGATTGCAACCAATGTCACAAAACAATATGTGTATAAATTTTTGAATGAGAAATTAAAAAAAAGCTGAGAAGGTAAGGGAAATAGGTGAGAAGATAAGGGAAACTAGAGTACTGGAAAGGGAACAAACTGAACACAAAGAGAATGTTGACACATTGTGATAGACGTAACCAATGTCGCTGAACAATTTGTGTGGATATTGTCAAATGGGAACCTAACTTCCTGTATAAAATTTCACCAAAAACTCAATAAAATATTATTAAAAAATAAACAAACTACCCAATATACTTCCAATGAATTTATTTTCTACTTAAGTTGGTTTCTGTTATAGGGAACTGTTATAGATTGAATTGTGTCCCCCAAAAACATGTGTTGTAAATCCTAACCTCTATGCTTGTGGTTATAATCCCATTTGGGAATGGATTGTCTTTATTATGTTAATGAGGCAAGATTAGTGTAGGGTGTATTTTGAGTCAATGTCTTTTGAGGTATAAAGGAGATTAAACAAGCAAGCCAGCAAGCAGCAATGGGGAAAGACATATGTTATGCCATACGAAGATCACCCAAGAACCAAGAAAAGAGACAAGGACCTTTCTCCAGAGCTGACAGAGAGAGAAACAGAAAGCCTTCCCCTAGAGCTTGAATTTGAACTCCTAAACTTCCTAAACTGTGAGAAAACAAATTTCTGTTTGTTAAAGCCATCCGCTTGTGGTATTTCTGTTATAGCAACACTAGATAACTAAGACAGAATTTGGTACCAAGAATAGGGTGGTGTTCTAACAGATACCTAAGATGTGGAAGCAGTTTTGGAATTGGGTAATGGGTAGAAGCTGGAAGAGTTTTAAGGTGCCTAATAGTAAAAGCCTAAGGAGTCCTGGTTGTGCAATGGTTAAGGTGCTCAGCTGCTAACTGGAAGGTTGGCAGTTTGAACCCACCAGCTGCTCCATGGAGAAAGATGTGGCAGTCTGCTTCCATAAAGATTTACAGTCTTGGAAACACTGTGAGGCAGTTCTACTCTGTCCTATAGGGTTGCTAGGAGTCAGAATAGACTTGAGGGCAGTGAGTTTAATAGTAAAAGCCTAGATTGCCTTGAAGAGACTGTTGGTAGAGTTATGGAGGTAAAAGGCAATTCTTTTTTTTTTTTTTTGTACTTCAGGTGAAGGCTTACAGAACAAATAGTTTCTCATGAAACAGTAGTACACATATTGTTTTATGACATTGGTTAACAACCCTACAACATGTCAACCCTCTCCCTTCTCGACCTTAAAAGCCAATTCTGGTGAGGGTTCAGAAGGAAGTGAGGAGTGCTATAGAGAAAGTCTATCGTCTGAGAGAGTACGTATGGCACCAACAACAGAATGTTGCTAGAAATGTGGACATTAAGTGTGCTTCTGGTGAAGCTTTAAAAGGAAATGATGAACATGTGATTGGACAATGGAGGAAGGGCAGTATTTTTTATGCAATAGCAAAGAACTTGTCTGAATTATGTTCAAAATTTGGTGGAAGGTAGAACTTGTAAGTGGCGAACCTGGATATTTGGCTAAGGACATTTCTAAGCAAGATCTTAAAGGGCTGTGTGGTTTTTCCTTGCCGCTTATAGTAAAATGAGAGAGGCAAGAGAGGGACTTAAAAATGAACTGTGCAAAATGAAAACAAAATTTAAAGATATGGAAAATTCTGTTGTACAAACTAGGGACATGTGTCCTAGAATTGTCACCAAGGACATGGCTACACAATCTTTTTTTAAGAGATTAAACCTGTGACTGATGGATCTAATCAACTACCACAGCAGAAAACCCATCAGCTTAGACTGAAGAGGACAGAGATAGGAGAAAAGGAAAGAAAGCTGGCTGCCTCTTGGAATACTACAGGCAGGAAAAAGGCCAAAGGAGCTACAACAGTGGTCCTCCAAGAAAAGAAAAGGACCATCCCTGGAGGAGCTCGGAGATAAGCAGAACTGTTGGAAGGAGCATGGGAAGCAGAGCTGCATTGGTTTCAAAGGGTAGAGCCACGGCCTCCTGTATTTCAGAGTCAGATCTTCACCAATTTGTTTGCAGAGTGAGGGCTATCATTTCAGTTTGCCTGAGAGGATAGGGCTGCCACCCAATGCTGAGGGGCAGGGCTGCCATGCCGAAGGGGCAAAAGATTGGGGCCTGCCGGGACTAGAGGATGGGGTAGTCACTCAGATGGAATAGGAGAATGGGGCCACTCAAAGCTGAGGGAGCAGAGTTGCCATCCCAGTGGGCCTGGAGGGTGCTGAAGCCAAGGGCCGAGAGGCCACCACCTAGAATCCAGAGAGCATGGCCAACATCCTGGAGGGCAGAGCCATTGCTCAGATGGTTTTGGAGAACAGAGGATTATTTTCAAGCCTTGAGAGCTAATGTAAATTGTTCTACTGGGTTTTGGACTTACTTGGTGTCCGTTATTCCATCTTACCCTCCAATTTCTCACATTTGCAAGGGAAATGTCTACCTTGTGCCTTGTCCACCATTATACTTTGGGAACAGATAACCTGTAGTCTAGATTTCACAGGTTTCAGATGAAGAGGATGGAATATGCTCAAAGTCTCATCCATAGTGGACTTAGATGATTAAGAAGATGAGATTTTGGACTTGGAGTGGATTTAAGAGTTTTGGGATGATATGATAGGGTGAATGTGTTTTGCATGTAGCAAGGACATACATTTTTGGGGGCCAAAGAGTGGAATGTTATGCATTGAATTGTATTCCCCTACCCTAAACATGTGTTGTTAAGTCCTAACCTCAGTGCCTGTGGTTACAATCCCATTTGGGAATGGGTTTTATTTGTTATGTTAATGAGGCAAGCTTAGTGTAGGGTGTGTCTTGAGTTGATCTCTTTTGAGCTATAAAGGATATTAAACAAGCAAGCTAGCAAACAGAGATGGGGAACGGTAGATGCCATGCCGTATGAAGATCACCAAGGAGTCAAGGAAAAGAGACAAGAACCTTCCCCACAGCCAACAGAGAGAGAGAAAGCCTTCCCCTAGAGCTGGTGCCCTGAATTTGGACTTCTAGCCTCCTAAGCTGTGAGAAAATAAATTTCTGTTTGTTAAGGCCATCTACTTGTAGAATATCTGTTATAGCAGCACTAGATAACTAAGACAGGAATCAAGATTTCTGATAGTGCTCTATGTCATTATATGAAAGGATAGTATATTTTTCTATTTGTTTTTATCTTTTGCTTGGTGATCTGATAAAACATTTTCATACCTATATAAGAAAACTTGCACTTATTTTTTGTTTCTTCTTTCAACCAGACAACACAAGAAAAAAGGCTCCTCAAAGGAACCACAGACTAGCCTCGATTGTGTTTCTCAACAGGGGCATTAATGGCATTTTGGGTAGGGAAAATTCTTCATTGTGCACATTGTAGGAGGTTTGGCGGGTCTGTTCAGCACACATTACATGCTATCCTGTACTGAAAATCACTGAACCAGAGGGTTATACTACATGTGAAAGGAATTAACTTACATCTATTTGTTTGAGTTCACCCAAAGGCACCTAAGAAGAAAGGCCTGGGGATCTACTTCCAAAAAAAACGAGCCATTGGAAACCCTATGAAGCACAGTTCTACTCTGACACACATAAGGTCACCATGACTTAGAACCAACTCAAAGGCAACTAGTTACTTGTTATAGTCATCATATGAATGCTTAAGTGGCCGATGAATTAGGTTCAAAAGTTAGCTGAGTATGTGTATTTTGTATCAACAGTTATCATCTATAAATATAACAGAGGGAAATGGCAATGAGCGTGTTCAGCGATTCCAAACAGAAGAACTAAAACCACAGTTTAAACTGGAA